TGACTAATATGATTTCCGATCGTACAATCACATGGAGGAGTGAAACTGAGTCGAACTACTCAGTAGTGACTCGGGCTCGGCTTCATGATTACTTGAGGTCGACTAATATGATTTCCGATCAACTGAGCTCATTCGAACATCTTGCCGAGTCAAGCTCAAGCTCGCTATACACAGGCCAATAGGTTCGTGAAACTCTAGTATTACTTTTAAAAAACATGTTATTAGCAAAAAATTTGACACAAACATCTTCAGAATTGCATAACATAACCGCATGATTGGGCTTGAGTTAATTATTTTTTGGTCAGAAGCTTGAGTTGCTTGATATAATGGCGCCGAGCTGAATGCGACTTTTTTTTATTAGTTTATGCTTTTAATCAATATCTTTTGTCGACTTTTTTAGGTAATACTGCTTTTTTTTAAAATTTTAATTTTACTTTTGGTAAATTTTTTGATTAACATTAATAATATAGTTAATTTATTAATTTCATGCGATATTCACTACAAAAAAACACCGAATTAGCGACGGAAAACGTGGAAAAGTCCGTCGCAAATCGAATTTGCGACGGATTTTGCGACGGAAAAAATTCCGTCGCTAATCGGTCGTCGCAAAATTTTGCGACGGAAAATTCACAAATTCGTCGCAAAATTCGTCGCAAATTTGCGACGGCACATAATCCGTCGCAAATATTCCGTCGCAAATTTGCGACGAACTTTGTCCATCGCAAATATCCGTCGCAAAATTCGTCGCAAAATTTGCGACGAACGTTTGTCCGTCGCAAAATTCGTCGCAAAAATCCGTCGCAATTTCGTCGCAAAATTTGCGACGAACGTTTGTCCGTCGCAAAATTCGTCGCAAAAATCCGTCGCAATTTCGTCGCAAATGTCGTCGCAAAATTTGCGACGAACGTTTGTCCGTCGCAAAATTCGTCGCAAAAATCCGTCGCAATTTCGTCGCAAATTTCGTCGCAAAAATCCGTCGCAATTTCGTCGGAAATTTCGTCGCAAAATTTGCGACGAACATTTGTCCGTCGCAAAATTCGTCGCAAAAATCCGTTGCAATTTCGTCGCAAAATTTGCGACGAATGTTTGTCCATCGCAAAATTCGTCGCAATTTTCGTCGTAAAATCGTCGTAAAATTTGTCGCGAATTTCGTCAGAAAATTTGTCGCGAATTTCGTCGCAAATTAGTGACAAACTTTAATGATAGCAAAATTCGGCTTAAAATATTCGTCGCTATTTTTATATAATTTCGGCCATAAATTCTTGTCCATATCAATCAAAGGAGACAATGATATATAATTGAAACAGAAAAACGAACAAACCATAAATTCTGACAAACCAGCCACAATGACATATAATTGAAACAAATAACAGAAGGAAAGTTGTAGAGTCTTACATGATACTATTTAATATCCAATCTTACAATACAGTCAAAACATGAACTAAGAGACGGGACAACCATAGAAGACGCAAAAAAACCATACAGAAGAAGACGCGGCTTTGGTACGATGGCAGGACACCAAAAGTAGTCACTTTTGTCGAGACCTGAGGAAATGTCGATACATAAATCAGTCCAGAATATAAAAAAAGCGTTTATGCATGGATGTGGAACTAGGTGTAAAATAACAAAAGGGTTAACAAAAATACGTTTCGGGACGAACATAAATGTTCTTACATATGAATATGAGTGAAATTATGAAAAACCAAGATTATGAAGCAAGCTTACCCCCGATTTTGAGAATTTTAACTAGAAAGACCGGAGATAATCTTCATCATCATCATCATCAGCAGCATTCTCGGCATCAATGTGTTGGTCATCATTGTTCCCATCACCTACTGGATTGGCTGGAGATACAGGAGGAACGCCATAGCGATTGATGTTAAGGTGTTGCATAACGACTCTCATTTGTTCTTCCAAGTTATATATGCGTTCATCCTTCTTAACAAGTAAATTATTCAGACGATGCACTTCTTGGGTCAATTGCTCGTCTGGTCGTGACCTCCTTCGACCAGTCCCAGTGGATGATGAACTTCCAGGATTATTGGCATGTACATCCTTGATAATGATCCCATCCCAAATATTTTCCCTTTTCTCGCCCCACCCGTTGCCTCCATCCATAATGCCATATTATCAACTGGTGGCCGGGACTCAGGACAATCATCACTACCATTAGCACTGCTCATTAAAAGTTCATCATATTTTTCCTACATTAACAATGTAGATGAAAATAAAATCACTACATATATATATCTACCAAAAATATTGAAAGCATTCACGGTTTTCATTATAGTTTACATATAAGCCAAAGTATAACCTTACATACCTTAATAGCTTTTGCTCGATCGCCAGTCCATGTCTTATCTTTCTTTTGAAATGTGCGTTCAAATGTAGCTGCAAATGTCGGTTCCGTCCCCAATTCATGTGCCTACAAAATGTAAACATGAATAATTGAATTAAATTAACTTATAACTCATTTAACAGACTTACCATTCGTTTGCGATGCTCCGCAATGTTGATAGAGCCCCCAGCATATGTGGCTGACCCATCACTAGAACTAGAAGATCGATTCTTCTTATTCTGCTCACAGAGTTGCCGACTCTGTTCAGATGCCCAAAATGTGTTAATTGCCTCCCAATTGTCAGCTGTAAAGAAAGACGGCTTCGCTTGCTTGCTCTTCACTCTATTCATGACATTTCGCATAAAATCACTTATTTTCTTATCGAAAATTCTTCTCACTTCATTGTCTTCCGCTTCCTCCCACTTGAACTTCCGCTGCAATGAATAAAAACACAAATTGAAAATTATTATGATGATTACATATCCATAACCATGCACCAGACAAATATAGACAGATTTTGTAAAGTTCATGTCGGGGAAAATATCTGGGCCTTTAGGTATCGAAAACTACAGAGTTGTTCTGTTCCTTTACATCATTCTTGACCATCAATATACTACACCACACTTAATTGGTGAGAAAATAAAATATGTAAAACTTACATTGAACTCATTCCACCACATTTCTTTTACTTATTGTGGAACATTTCTGTAAGTAACATACTCTCCCATCCAAAAGTTTCTTACTATTTTGTTCAATTCCCTCACAACAGACGGAGCATCCGTGAATCTGCATTCATATGAATATTGTGCAACATGGACAATTCAATTGACATCAATATCTAAAGCCCTAAATACTACATATACTAAAATAAAAATGAAGTACTTACGAATCTCCAAATGGGCATATGAGAATCGGTTATCTTCTTGACCTATGTTTCCGTCAATATTCGATTGTTCCGCCGAATAATGGGGTGGAACGGAAGGAGAGGGAGCTAAAGGAGATTGAACTGGAGAACGTTCAGTTCGCATATGGCCAAGTCCCGTAACATGTTGTTGAGTGTTGGAGGAAGGGCCAACGTGTCCATATTGTGACGGACCATATTGTGGTTGAGGGTTAGATGCCGGGACAGGGGAAGAGGATAGGGATGGGGACGAGGACGAGGAAGAGCCTTGTCTTCTAGGCATGTGACCTCCACGTTTAAACTGACAAGTAAAAAGGTTATGCGAATATGTAAAGAACTATTGACACGTATTACGAACATATAATGATGTACATGACGAAGCTTACCATTTTGATGGAAAGACTGAGAAAATGTTTCCTTCAAATGAGCCAATGTCGAGTGTTTATGACGTGCAATTTCCTACAAACAAATATACTATGAATCCCATTCATTTTGATATGAAACATCAATGTATGAGCACGATTTGGGTGGCTACAGGTATTAAACATCACTATATGAATCGCATTCATTTTGATTACAATTTTTTTGACAACGTACAACAATTTAAATTTCACTGAAAGTGGGTGGCCACAGGTATTCTGAGTCATTCTGTACAGTTTTGTAAGAAAAAAATTATTATTATTGCAAAAAAAATTTTGGGCCCTAAAAAAAAATTTCACTAAAAGTTAGTGGCCACAGATATTCTAAGACATTTTGTAAAGTTTTGAAATTTTATAATTTTAAGCATTTTTAAATTATTATTATTTTATATAAATTTTTAATCGTGAAATAAAAAAATTTGTCCATACTAAAATTGGGTGGCCACAGGTAGTCTAAGCTATTAGGTAAAGTTTCCAAAATTTTTGTCCTTATTTATTTTAATAATTTTTAGAGCACTTTAAAAAAATTAAATATAACTAAAAGTGGGTGGCCACATGTATTATAAGTCATTTCGTGAAGTTTTGAAAATTTTTAAATTCTAATTTTTTTTTGGCCATCTAAAGAAATTTACATTTCACTGCAAGTTGATGGCCAAATGTTTTCTAGGCAATTCTGTGCAGTATTGAAATTTTATATTTTTTAAATTTTTTTTTCACCCAAAACAAATAAAAATTTCCCTCATAATGGGTGACCACATTTATGTTAAGCCATTTTATAAGGTTATGGAAATTTTTAATTTTTTAATATTTTTTTCCCCGGAACGTTAAAAAATCTAAATTTAATTGAAAATGGGTGATCACTATTAATTTTTGTCATTTTGTGATATTCTGAAATTTTATTTTTTTAAAAAGTTTAAAAAAATTTTACGGTCAAATTTCATATTTGTTGCCAACATATACCATTGTTTTAATTTTCCGTAATTTTCCTTGATTTTTTATAGAATTGTTTAATTTTCAAGCATTTTCTGTGAAAACGCTTAATCAATCAACTTATCGTCATTTAACGCTTAATCATCCACATAATAGACAAATTAACCAATCGACCATCGATCAAAGCCACATGCAATCCTGAAATCAACCAGTAACTTAGCCAACGAAAAGTGATCCTAAATAATCCTTAAACAAGTCCGACTAATTACCTAATTATACTAACTAGGGTTTAGAGAGTTGCTTACTTGGTTCAAGGACAATAAAAATCGGCCGATAGAACAGTGACGGTCCCGGCGCAAGCGTGAGCTCAAATGGTGACTAGACGGCCAGGTACTCGGCCACGACCGGGAGAATGACGGCGGAGCTCGGCGACGACGGCGTTAGGGGCGGCGGCGACGGCGTCAGGGGCGGCGATGGTGTTGGCGACGGCAACGGCGTGGGGAGCGGCGACTGCATCGGCGACGGGCCGGCCCAGCCACAGCCTCGGCCGGCGACCGGGAGGCGGGTTGCGAGGCTGGTCGGCGGCGGCACGGCGGCGCGCGGGCCCGGCGGTGCGAGCTGCTGGACGACGGCGTCGGCGGCGGGCCGATGTGCTCCCGGCGGGCGGGCGACGGCGGCGAGCCCGGGCGCGACGGCGGCTGGGCGCCGGGCTTGGGACACGATCGGCGGGGGGGCAGGGACGAGGCGGAGCTAAGGGGCGACCGGGCGGAGCGGGCCACGGGCCGCGGGGTGGCGGCGAGGCGAGGGGAGGGCGCGACGAGGCGGGGCGGTCGGCGAGGCGGGCGCGAGGGCGCTACCGACGGGGGCGGGCGACGGGCGGCGGGGGCTACGGGGCGGGCTGGGAGGGACCGGCGACGGGCGGGGGCTGCGGGGCGACCGGGCGACGAGCGGCGACGGCGATGGCTGCGACGGCGACGGGCGGGGGGAATGCGCAGATCTGGCGGGGGGCGGCGTCGGGGAAGGGGGAGGGGTAATAACATGTAAATTTGCGACGGACGGGAGCGTCCGTCGCAAATTTTCCACCGACAAAAATTCGTGACGAAAAAATTAATCCGTCGCAAATTTGCGACGGATTAATTTTTCCGTCGCAAATTTCAACGGCAAATTTTCCCTCGCAAATTTTGCGACGGACTGCGTAGTCCATCGCAAAATTTGCGACGGACAGTTCAGTCCGTCGCAAATTTTGCGACGGACAGTTCAGTCCGTCGCAAATTTTGCGACGGACAGTTCAGTCCGTTGCAAATTTGCGATTGACAGCTTAGTCCGTCGCAAATTTGCGATGGACAGCTTAGTCCGTCGCAAATTTACGATCGATTAATTTTCCCGTCGCAAATTTGCGACGGCAAATTTGCCGTTGCAAATTTAAACGGCAAAATTTTGACGGCAAATTTGCGACGGACAAATTAGTTCGTCGCAAATTTTGCGACGGAAATCATGATCCGTCGCAAAATTTGCGACGGAAATTATAGTCCGTCGCAAATTTACAATGGATTTTTTTTACGCCAAAAATTTGGAGCGGTAAAATCTTATCGCAAAATCAACTTTCCGTCGCAAATTTGCAACGGACTTTCTATACCGGTCGCAAATTTTGCGATCGACAAAAAATTTCCAGGAGAAATAAAAATTCGTCGGAAATTTGCGACGTAAAAAAAATTTCGTTGCAAATTTGCGACGGATTAAATTATCCGTATACAATTTCGAACGGTACAAATTCTCTCGCAAAATTTGCGACGGACAGCTTGAGTCCGGCGTAAATATGCACATACTACATGAACGTTGTAAATTTGTGAATTTTTTTTTTCGGTCAAAAATTTAGCATCTCATTTATTTGGGTCCTAAATTTGCTACATCTTTTTTTCAATCCAAAATTTAGGCATCTCAAATGTTGCAATAGAAATTAGAATATCGGAAATGTTAGGGCACGTTAATAATATTAGACTTGTCGGCATTTAGGGACAAAATTTCGGACGATCAATTAAAATAAAAAGAATAATCGACAATAACAATAATAAAAAAGCACAATAACAATAATAACAAGAACAATAATGATAACAACCAAATAGCACCTGTATCATTAATAATTACACATTTGTAGTGTTTTGTGACAAAAATTTTAATCTTCGTCTTTGTCTTCGTCTTCGTCTTTGTCTTCATCTTCGTCCTCGTCCTCGTCCTCGTCATCTGTCTGAAAATCAGATTCTGAACATTCTTGTACATTTAACTTGCAAATTTCAGTTGGCTCCACATCTATCATTGCTCCACACGGATCTCGTAAAGTTGGTATGTTTTATTCCTCAATTTCAACCGTGTTAGACACTTCCTCCTGTTGGTAGGCTCTATCCTTCCAGTGTTCCTCGATTTTCCTCCGTGCTTTGATTTTACATACAGCCCACCAATCAGCTTTGTCACGTTTCAAACTAGGATATGATGCATAACATACTTGAATTGCTTGTTGTGCCAAGACAAATGGTTCATACTTCATATACCTTTTCTTGTGATTTATTTCAACCAAATTGAACTTCGTATGCACCTTCATTCCTTTGACGGGGTCGAACCACGTGCACTTAAATAACACAACCTGCATCATTAATGGTCCAGGGTACTCTATTTCTATGATTTCATCCAACAAGCCATAAAAATCATCTTTCGAACTGTCACCATTGGATGACCGAACAGACACACCACTATTCATTGTGGATTTTCCCATTCCATATTCTTGAGTATGAAAATTATATCCATTTATGAAATATGCTGGCCAACTTCGAACTCTTAACTGTGGACCCCATGACAGATAATGTAGCAATCCTTGCCCTCCAATTTCATCATAATTACTGTGAACCTAAGGTTACACATGCAAAGTTAATAATATATATTTAACTAAATGATGTATATAATTTTAATAACTTGGTTTTGATCCATAGGCAACTTACATATGTCTTGAACCATGCTGCAAATTGTTCATCGCACAAACGGTCAAAGTCATTTGGTTGTAGTCCAAACATTGAAGTTTGGAAAATCCTAATATTAAAAACCATATCATTATTAGCAAATATTTGACACGCAAAACATATATTTACAAATTTACACTTACTTGAAGTATGGCTCGACTTCTGGACAGTTCAGTAAAATATAAGTATGGGCTGCATGAAGTTCTTCGCCTGATAAGTAACGAAACTGACATGTGCCGCTTGGTCGACCCAGATAATTGAAAATAGAGAATGCTGTGCAATTGGGATCAATGGGGCCCTCATCATTTCTGCCTGCTCTCCGCCTCTTGCATTGAACGTGCGGCTCAAAATAGTATGATGCAAATGTCGTCACTTCTTCCACAATATATGCATTACAAATTGAAGCTTCAACATGTGCCTTATTCTTCACTTTTTTCTTCAAATGATATAAGAATCTAGTTGAAATAGAAAGAAGCTTATCGGGACATATTATATGATAAACTCATTTGAACTGTATTTTAAAGAAAACATTACCTCTCAAATGGATACATCCATCGAAATTGGACGGGATCTGCAACTTTGGCCTCATGAGGCAAGTGAACTAAGAGATGCTCCATCGAATCAAAAAACGCTGGAGGAAATATCCTTTCTAAGTTGCAAAGAATAATTGGAATATCTCTCTCTAGTTTTTCCATGTGCGATGCTTTTAACACTGTCGAGCAAATATCATGGAGGAAATTGCTTAATTCTGTAATGGCGCCCCATACAAAGTTCGGTAAAACTTCCTTCAAAGCTATTGGAATTAGTCTTTCCATCAGGATGTGACAATCATGACTCTTCAAACCTGTCAACTTGCATTCCTTCAAATCAACACATCTCCCGAGGTTCGAAGCATATCCATCAGGAAACCGCACAGATTTCAACCATTGACAAACAACTCGCCTCTGCTCCTTATCCAATGTATAAACTGCTTTCGGTTTTGGTCCCCTGCTGCTTGCATCCACAGCTAGTATTGGCCGGTCGCAAATATCTCTCATATCTTTTCTTGCGTTCAAGTTGTCTTTTGTTTTTCCGGCGACATCCATCACAGTATTTATGACATTGTCGAAAACATTCTTTTCTATGTGCATGACGTCAAGATTATGATGAATAAGATGGGCCTTCCAATATGGTAGATCCCAAAATATACTGCGTTTTGTCCACTTATGTGTACTTCCGTACTCAAAAGTCGTGCCGTGCGGGTTTTCAACAACAGTTAGAAAGTCCTGCACACGCTCCCAAATTTGATCGCCAGTCAACCTCAATGGTGGACGCGTTCTTTCAGTCCTATTCTTGCTGAACTCTTTCTTATTCCTTCTGAAATAATGACTTGCCGGTAAAAATTATCTGTGACAGTCAAAATAGCTAGGCTTCTTTTCATGTTTTAATCTAAATGACTTTGTCCTCTCCAAACATATCGGACATCCTAAGATCCCAGCTGTACTCCATCCAGATAACATTCCGTAAGCTGGAAAGTCATTTATCGTCCAAAGAAGGGCAGCCTTCATAACAAATGTTTGATCGGTAGAAACGTCATACGTAGGGACACCTTCAACCCATAGCCGTTGTAACTCCTCAATCAATGGTTGCATATAAACATCTATAAACTTTTTCGGATTTTGCGGCCCTGTCACGATCAATGTCAAAAACATATAAGGTGTCTTCATGAACATAGCAGGTGGAAGATTGTACGGCGTTAAGATAACTGCCAGCATGAATAACTTTTTCCTGTTCTCCCAAATGGAGCAAATCCATCGGCACGAGACCTAACTGATGTTCCGAGGCTCCATTGCAAACTCAGGTATGTTCTATCAAAATGTTGCCATGCCTTTGCATCGAAGGATGACACATTAGACCCTCTTCTGTTTCATGATTTGCATGCCAAGTCATGTGTTCAGCAGTGGCTTTAGACGCATAAAGCCTTTGCAATCTGGGGATTAAGGGCAGATAAAACATTTGCTTGCATGGTTTACGCTTCTGATTACGACCCGGCCTCCTGTTAATCTTGTACCTAGGTTGGCTACAGAATTTGCAAGATTCTGCATTTTCATCATCTCTCCAATATATCATACAACCCCTACTACATACATCAATCCTTACAACCGGAAGACCTAAGTTATCCACTAGCTTTTTCATATCATAGAAATCACTTAGCATGTTGTTATCACGAGGCAATGATTCCCGCATTACTTCAACAAAAGAGTTGAAGCAATCCGCAGACACATTATGCTCTGCCTTGATATTTAATAGTCGCGCTGTCACCGATAACTTAGTATGGTCCTCACAACCTGTCCATAGAGGTTCATCTCGTCGCTTTCAAGACATCCCGGCCGATTAGATTGAAAAGTTTCATTATACACATTCTCCTCAAAACCCGTTACTCCTATATCTTCCAATTGTGAAGCATGACTAGTACCCACTTGTTCACGTGTAGGAGTAAAACTAGTACTTGCATGATTTGCTTCTGTGACAAAATTATAACTAGCTGCATCAATCACCATCCTCTCGTATGGGTTCAATTGCTCATAATAGCCACATTCTTCCCTAACTGAAAATTGATCACTTCTTCCATATCCTTCATCAGATATAAATGGTTCACCATGGGAAGTCCAATTATAATAGTTCGGAGTAAACCCAAATCTAATAAGGTGTTCTCTAACTTGATCACACATAAGAAATTTACCATTACCGCACTTTTTACACGGAC